ATATATATATATATATGTAGTACAGTAAGTACAGTAATATATAGTATAGACGGACGGACAAACGGACGGACAAACGGACAGCCGATTGGCCGTCCGGACAGACAGACAGATAGGTAGCACAATTGACAACTAAAGTAATCTCAAGACACTGTACAAAAACATTCAGACATTCAGGGTCATGCAGTCATCATGTAGTTCAAGATAACATTTTTATCTAAAAAAGTTAAGTCTGGTCCTCTGGACCCAGACCAGTGGTCATTCCGTATGTTGAGGGAATATCAGAGAAACTGAGACGTTTATTTTCTAAACATAACGTCCCAGTGGCTTTTTAAACCCCAAAATACATTACGGCAAAGACTGGTTCATCCCAAAGATCCAGTTCCCCGGCACAAACAGAGTAATGTTGTGTATGCTGTTCAGTGTCAGGAGGGCTGTGATCAGTCTTACATCGGGGAAACTAAACAGCCACTGGCCAAAAGGATGGCCCAGCACAGAAGAGCAACTTCAGCAGGCCAGGACTCTGCGGTCTACACTCATCTCCAGGCCAGAGGTCACTCTTTCAAGGATGAAAATGTTCACATCCTGGATAGAGAGGAACGATGGTTTGAGAGAGGAGTAAAGGAGGCCATCTTTGTGAAAATAAACTGTCCATCATTAAACAGGGGTGGATGCCTCCGTGTTCAACTATCCCCCTCTTACAATGCTGTTATTGCTAGTATCACTCAGCCCCCTTTGAATAGTAAACAGCCATCAGTGTGCTAATGATCCATCATTAGGCTGATGGTCCTTCTTGATCATGTGAGCAGCTGGTTTTGGTTGTCAGCAGCAAACTGGTTGATCCACTACGAGAAGGTGCTATTTATAAGACTGAGCTGAATACAGCTCCTCAGAGTGAAGGAGTCTTTCAGATGAAAGACGAAACATTTCTACTTTGTATTTTATTTTTTATTTGTTTGTTTAGTTTTTTGAATGTCCAGAGGACCAAACTTAACTTTTTTAGATTTTTCAACCTGGATATATCAGGATATAACCTTTTTATGCTCTATTTTATAGTTTGAAACAAATAACTTAAATAATAATAATTTTAATTATAATCTGTTTATAATAAATTATAATAAACTTTAATTATAATAATGGGGAGTGGTGGCGCAGAGCAGAGGCCAGAGAAGATGGGCCTGTGATCGGAAAGTCTCAAGTTGAACTCCCGGTACCTACAACATAAAAAATGTGAGTGGAAAAGGTGAAACACCCACTCCTGCCTCCACCCTCACCCGCCTCACCCTGGGCCCCTGAGCAAGTCCCCTACTCCTCACCATTTGCCCCCCAAAATAGGTCTCCTGAAAATGAGTTCTCTTGACTTAATGATTACCTGTATAAATAAAGGGTAAATAAAAAAACAACTGTGCTTATTCAGTAAAATATAGAACATATAATATTAATAATATTAGACATATTTAAGTTTACATGACTGCACTTAAAAACAAGCTATAATAACATAGATCACAATAGGAATACAGTATGTGGACAGAAGAGAGGCAGCGCCTTCGCTCGACAATTTCCGGCACACTTCGTAACGTTTCGTCCCACTTCGTCACTTTCCGCTGATGTTGATGTTGGAGCTCGCGCCGCCTCACCCAGACTGCTTTATGTCTGGCAGCAGAGACCATGCGCGGTCGCCATATTACGGAGCAACCCCTCCTCTTCGGTCCGGTCACAACAGCGGAGCAGCAGGCTTTTTCTACTGAACGACGCTACCGCCAGGGAGAGGACCAGTGATACAGCAAAACCAAAGCGAGGACTCGGTGAAATGGACGTAAACCTTTGTTCTTCGCCATTAGAGTGATCGTATCGCTTTCGGAACACCGTGGATCGAGTGAAGGTTGTTTAAATTCGATCAACTTTGGGTGAATTCAGCAGTTAAAAAACCTACCCAGTTGACTGTGTGATGGAGACTGGCAGCTAGCTCCGTGCTGACAAGCTAGTAGTTAATAAAACAACAACAACTTCCTGAGCGGCCGCTTTACTTTCACTGCGTGTGTTTTAGCGCAGCACTGCATTTTGTTTCGAAACACTTGGGATACTATTGTGTTCAACCACGGCTCAGACGGACAGTTCACCGGCGAACTGCATCAGCTGACGCTAGCTCGATTAGCTGCTGAGCAAGCGGCCACTAGCTTCAGTTGCTTGCTAACTGACACGGGGAAATCGTGCATGAGTGGCTGCTAATATTGCCACCAGCCTTGCGTGAAAATCAAAATACCCCTCACCCCAAACTTGTTTTTTTTTTTTTTTAAACGATTGTTTGTGAACGGTAGTTTGGGCAAAACGGCGCCGTTAACGAACTGCATTTTTACTGCCTACTGTCGGAGACCAACTACCGCCCGGATTCCCTCGAAATGCACCATCCGGAGCCTGCAGGAGACTCTGGCGGTGTTAGAAAGATGGCGCATCCGGTCGTTTTTCACAGAAGGGGCAGCAACACGAGCAGCGGGAGCGGCCCGACGCTGTCAACACCGGCCAACCCGGTGGTCAACAACAGCCACGATGATTATCAGCCCTCCCTGTTGATTCAGCCTGCTACTGCTGGTTCTTCTTCCCCGGGCCCCCATCATCCTCCTCCTCCACCCCACAACCTGAATCTTCAGCCCCCACAGTCGGCTGGAGCTCAGATTAAAAAGAAGAGTGGTTTCCAGATCACCAGTGTGACTCCAGCGCAGGTGTCCGTTAGCACCAATAACAGTATTGCAGAGGACACGGAGAGTTACGACGACTTGGACGAGTCTCACACCGAGGATCTGTCGTCTTCTGAAATCCTGGATGCGTCCCTCTCCCGAGCCAACGACGTAGTTGGAGCAGAGAGAAGTTCTTCAGAGGAGACGCTGAATAACTTCCATGACGCGGAGACCCCTGGGGCTGTCTCCCCCAACCAGCCTTCGCACCCCCACAACTTGAGCCAGGTGCAGAAACATGGTGGGACCATTGTGAACGGGACTGTGCATCATCCTCACCATCTTAACCATGCCCAGAGCGTCCCTCTGCCCTCTGGGCCTGGTGGCGCCCCATCTCCCCTTGCTTCTGGAGCTTTATCTTCTCTCACCCAGAAAATGCCTTCTAATGTGGGGGTTCATCAAGAGAATGTTTCCCATGCTGCCCCTCCAAGTATTGTTTCTCAGCCTGTGGGAATTGTGGCCCCAGGATCTGCTCCTGGAATGCACAGCTCTGCAACAGGCAACACGGTTAGTATAGCTAATCCCCAGACCAGCAGTGTTAGTAAGGTGAATATGTTGAGCTCTGCCAATGTGCCTGTTAGGGGGGGAACCAGCACAAGTGCTAGCAGTAGCAGTGGAGGAAGTGGTGGTGGAGCTGTTCCAACTGGGGGTAACCATATGCCTACCGCTAATGTAAACATGATCCAGCAACAGCAAAGCATCAGCTCCATGACTGCTATGACTACTGCTGCTGCAGTTGTCAGTGCCTCTGGAGGCGTGGGTGTCCCCAGCGGGATCCAGGGGAGAGTTGGATCAGCTGTGCCTGCGAGTGTTCCTGCGACAGCTGTGGCTACAGCCCCTGTATCATCTGCTCCTGCTGTGGCTACTACCGGCTCTCGCTTCAGGGTAGTGAAGCTGGACTCCAGCTCTGAGCCCTTCAAGAAGGGCAGATGGACATGTGCTGAGTTTTATGACAAGGAGGCACCAGCCCCTGCTCCTGGCACGTCTACGTCTGATACGCTGTCCTTTAGTGCACGTCAGTTTGTCCCAGAGAGCTCTGCTGGAGCCGCAGAGAAGGAAAACATAAGTGGTAGTTCAGTGAGTAGTACAATGAGCCATTACAGTGACATCATGGGCAGTGGAGAGGCTGGTGGATCCTCAGTACCCCAGCATGCCCAGGATTATGCGTCCCCTCCTCAGGGCTATCAAGGAATCATTCCCAGTGGCTTAAGTATGGGAGCATCTCAACCACAATCTCACATGCAAGCCCAGAAGACTACCGGAGCCCCCCAAGCTCCTGCAAACATCCATCAGCCTGCACTCATGACCACCATTGGTCTCCCCACTCCTGGTCCCCAGCAGCAGCTCACGTATGCCCAGGCAGTCGCTAACCAACCTTCAGCAGCCTCACAGGGTCTAGCTGGTGTTCAGCAGCAGAAATTAGGCTATGCCAGCCTTCCACAGCAGTCAGCTGCTTCCCCTTCAGCACTCCCAGCAGTGAGGCCACCTGAGTACACCCAGCCACAACAAGCTGTTCCCCAAGCTGCTGCCACCCAACCTCCTCCCACCCAAGCTGCCACGGTACCGTCTGGACCGGTTAATGGAGCCACTCAAATGATGGGAGGTCCTCAGCAATCGCAGGGACTCTTTCACACACAGTTGCCCTCTGGTTTGCCTTCTCACGTTGGCGTAGCAGGTCTTGGTCATATGGATAGTCAGCAGCAGAAGCCACAGTCTCTTCCAACGCAAATTCAAAACCCAAGCTTGAACAGCCAGCTCCCTGGTGCAGCCCATCAGAGCCAAGCGGCCGCACTAAGTGTGCCTCCTTCCAACCTTCAGAACGACCATCAGACCCAGTCCCAAGCTCACAGTGTTGGTGATGCTGCTCGGATTCCCCCACAAGGAGTCCCGCATGGCCAGCCTTCTTCTGTGAGCTTGACCCAGGACCACAGCAGTGCCCAGGCCCTATCTCATGCCGCCCAGGCCAGCGCCTTGTATGCCAGCTTGCCCAGCTTCACCACCACACAGCTGCAGGATGCCCAGCGGCTGCTCCTCCAGCACCAGTCCGCTTTGTTGGGGCTGCCCAAGGTTTCCAGTGGAGAGGCTGGATCCATTACTGGCCAGGGTCAAGAAACTGAGGGCAACACCACCCCCGCCAGTGCCTTAACTGCACCAGCTGGTCTCAAGACTGTAGATGGCGAGGAGGATGGGTAAGACACTTTATTCACTTGTTTTTCCTATTTTATATAGATTTGTGCCATCGTCAATTTTGTTACTCTAGGAAATAATTTTATACATTTGACAGGCACTCTTTTTTTTTTTTTTTTTTTTTTTTTTTTACTTGGATAATAAAAGTCATAGTTTTCTGAATAATTTTAAAGCTGACTGATTTAACTTGTTGCTGCAGCAGATGTGAGAGAATAAATGGGGTATTTGTTATTCCTGATAACCAGCTGACAGTGGCCAAGCTGCTACATTCTGTCTGTCCTCTGTCAGCGGGACACGATACACTGGACTCGGCTGGATGTGACGTTCCCTGCCTTTTATCAAGTGGTTGCAGTGATTCAACATTTTCCTCAACTCCTGCACGACTGTTTAAATCTCAGCTGTCTACGTTACGGGGCACAATTTGCGCTGGTTGGACAGTTTGTCTAACGCTTTCTCTCAGCATATTGTCAGAACTCAGGAAGCACAGAGACGGTATGATTATTTGATTAGTGGCAGATTAATGGAGGTAGCTACACATGTAATAGAGTTTAACTAATGTAAACAAATGCACACTAGGAGATGGTGGGGTGGTGAACGTGAAAAGTAAAGTAACTTTTATTTGAAGTGTTTATTGATTGTTATGAAGGCCTGAACAAAGTGAAAACCCTGTGGCATGCACCACCAGTAAGCTTTAAGAGCTAATGTTTGAGGTCACAGGAATTTTAATCACCTTCAATCAGAAGAAAATTGCTTATAATTCTCTCCCGCTTAACAATCTTAAGCCCCTTTTTCTAAAAACTTTAGACTTGTGTATTAAGGTGACTGGTGAGGTAGAAGGTAAGACTCAGTTGCACAGTTCAGGTAGATGCAACTTCTGTAATCACGTGATCCAGATATCTAAATGGATTATTGCATTTGATTAAGGGAGTTTAAGTCAAAGTAAAGCCTTTTTATGTTCTTTTTCAAATGAGAAGTCTGCTGTCTCTGTATTATCATCACAAGTCATTTGGATTCTTATCAGCTGTATTTATTTATTGGCCCTTACAAAAGGTTATATATATTCCTGATTTCTCTGCTGCTACAATAATTCACAGTAAAGTATTTAACTGCACATTTGCTTCAGCTAATCAAGATGCACAAATTAAATGGGCCCAAAGCAGTTTTTCTGACTTCAGTCTACACTTAAGTTTGAAAAGAAATACATGCTCACTATGTATTTATAGCATGGTAGAGTTGGCCTTGTCGTTGACGTCAGTCTGCTTTTTGGTGATGACATCTCACCGTTGTTCTTAAAATCACCACTGACTGTAATACAAACAACACTTCTACTCAAAATGTTTGTATACATGGGCCGGTATGATATTTTGACAGTATAACCTTGAGCAGAAATACCAAGTCTTCTTGGTGTTCCCATCATACAACAATTTAAAAACATGATTTATTATCTTTTGTTTGAAAACAGAAATGTGAATACTGTTACTGCTGCCTAAACAGTTTCACATTTTTTTAAAACAATGAATATAGATATTACCGTATGAGATTGTTTATTTGTAGTAGCCATCCATCCATTATCTTTACTCGCTTCTTCCTTTTCGGGTCGCAGGGGTCACTGGTGCCCATGTCCAGCAGTCGCTGTGAGAGAGGCGGGGTACACCCTGGACAGGTCTCCAGTCCATCATAGGGACACATAGAGACAAACGAGACAGACATTCACACTCTCACTTACATTTAGAGACAATTTAGAGTTACAAATCAGCCTAACATGCATGTTTTTGCACTATGGGAGGAAACCGGAGTACCCAGAGAAAACCCACGTATGCTCAGAAAAAACATGCAAATTCCATTCAGAAAGGCCCCCTGCCGGGATTTGATCCGGCGACCTTCTCGTTGAGAGGCAACAACTCTACCAACTGAGCCACAGTACCGCTTATATATAGTATTTTAATTTTAATTCAGATATAAGAACAGAGCCTGACAGAACACAAGAAAAAGTGTTGACTGTCACTCTGTTCAACCCTCCGGATGCCCTTGGGTCAAAATGATTTGAGGCTTCAGGCCTCATGGATTGTTTTTAACCAAGTGCAGCAGGATTAAAATCAGGTTAAAATCAGTCCATTTGTTCCTGCACTTGAGACAGATTTTAAACTAATTTATGATCATCTTTCTTTAGAGCGATCAAAGTTGTAATTTTCTCATCAGCTGAACTACATTGTAACTGTGTACGTATCATTCTAAAGTAATTGAGATTGTGCTAAATATTATTTTCTTCTGCTCTTTTTAATGTTGAAAGCCTGACAAGCTGACGTTCATGAATTATTTAGTTAAATTATTAGCACGCCAACAGTCCGCCCTTTAAATTTCACCTGCTAAAGTGCTAACTCATAGCTTGTTGCAAATGTCCTAATGTTTGGATCAGTGTTTCCTTGAAAAGAGAGATATTGGTTGCTCCTCAGACAGTCAAGCCATGACTATTGTTACCCACTGAATAAAATGCACAACCAGCCGACAGCTTCTTTTGTTAACGAACACAAAAGTTTAGATGAATTCCCTCCTCGGCCACCAGACATTAATAATATTTATATTGAAAGCTGTTTCACGCGCAAAAGTTAAAATTAGTTTTCCTGCAGCTGATTAATTTTAGACCAGCTTCTATTCTTTGAGTGGTCTGTGTCAGAGTTGCTAATTAAATTCAAAAATAGGGTTAAAGCTTTTCTGGGGTTGCCTATAATTGGTAGATGTTACTATAATAACAACCATTGTTTATGAGGATTGATACCAGAGCACAATATGTGAGCTGGTCTTTGGAGCATGTTGGTGCTGCAGCCACATACGGGAGTGCAAGGATTTGGTAAATCAACAATAACGTCTGTGTTATGGACTGAAAGGCAAAATGCAATATGTTCAAGTTTTTCGACTCGTTGTCATTTTATTTTCTTATGCAAGTGTGGTTATTATTGAATCATCACTGCTAAACTTGGTATTTTTGTTAACTCTGCAGTAAAGTAGACTGTTACTGCCCTATAAAAAGTCACCTGTATGAAAAAGACTGAAAAGCCCTGGAACGTTTTTCTCTGTGGGCTCCTGCAGATGAACTTGTTTCTCGCCTCCTTGTTCTGTCCAATAAGGATACATTTACAAATGTGTTCTGGACGTGTGCCATATCAGGGGTTGTGCAGTTCTTTCGCCCCTCTGTGTAGCTTCTGTCAACATATTTCCAGGCGTTTGTGTGTGCAGTGTGTCTGCCCTCATTAATCAACCTCCGAACAATATCTGTAAAACAACAGGGGCTCTTTAAAGTGTCAATTCATGTTTTAGTTTCTCTATGTGAGCCTGTCTTTGTACAAAAAAGGAGATCAGTTGTGTATTTGCTCTGTAGGTGCAGACAAAACATTAAAGGGATGAGTTGATGGGTTTGTATACATGCTGCAGCTGATTGTCTCCTAGGGTTTATTTGCAATTAGAAATAAATTAGAATACAATCCTAAAGGGTTAATAGCTGGAGCAGTACACAGCTAAAAATAAAACCAGGTGATATACCAACCTAATTTCCAAGTTCTAACAAAAGTTGCTGTTGACTTAATGCCAGAATGTGCAACTTATACAGTAGTCCCTCGCTACTTAGCAGTTCGTTTATCGTGGGCTCGCTCTATCGCGGTTTTTCAAAATAAGATTGGACTTGACACACAATTGGCTGATTGATGGATGAGCCACACGATTGGCATGGGATTTTTATTTAAAATAAATTATTTTAAATTATTTAGCACCTGCTGCACCTTTGTGCAGCCCAAACTGCTGGACAAACTTCCTGCTACAGCTGATCACCTGTTTCTACGTGCAGAGCTGAGAAGTGGGCGTGGCCAAGAGCGCTTGCAGATGGCGAAGATCAGACGAGGCAGGGAGCTGAAATCATGATATTTTGTGCTCTTAGAGCATTTAGAGTTTTGCAATATTCTAAACAATGTTTCTAGATTGTGGGAAGTGTTTAAAACACCTATATATATATATATATATATATATATATATATATACATACATACTAAAATAAACTAGTACTTACTGCTTGTACTACTATTCCTATGTCACGGCTTTTCACTTATCGCGGGTCTTCAGGGTACGGATCCCCCGCAATAAACGAGGGACTACTGTGTATATATATTCTGTGTTGGAGTTGTGTTAAACCATGAAGATAGTTTTGTAATTAAAGAAGACATCATAATTGGCTACATACATACATCTTGTGTAAAACAAGGGCAGTGCAAAGTGTTACATTTATGGTAGTTTTATTCATTAATATGTAAAGTTGGATTGGTGTTAAAATCTGCTATTAAGCCACTTTATTACATTTTTAGGTAAAAAAATTTTAGGCATAAATAACATTTGATATGATTGCATTTGTATTTTTGAATCTGGATGCTATGTGGGACTTTAAATTGTCCTAATTTACTGGAAGAATAACGCAAACTTTTTGACTTCTTGTGACAACTATCGATTTGACCATGAGTGCTCGAGCTGTTCGTTTCACTTCGTCGTCTTTACCTTCATAATATTTGCTATGATGCTGAGGTGTAGTTGGCATTTATTTACTTTGCATTATTTTGTGATTTTTAACTCATTCCCATGCAACAATTAAAATAAATCTCAGGCACAATTACCAGTATAAAAATCTGGTACAAGTTCAGTTTTAAAATATTGATAAACTTCTGTACAGACAGTGTCGTAGAAATATTTGTTAGAATTATTTAAAACATTAGACCTTCATTGTTGTAGAGAAATTACAGAATTAAACAGCAGGAAAGTCTCAGATCTGTCACTAGATTTATTGTGAAAGATTCCTCTTCCCTACATTAAAATGAACTCGATAAAAGCATTCACAAATTATTTATTTGACTTTTCGTGTGCCTGGTAACTAACTGGTAGTGAGTTTATTGAAAATGAACATGCTGGTCATGTTTATTATTCCCTTTAAAACAGGAGCATTTCCTTGAACTTCTGTACTCCCATC